AAACGTAATGTAATTGGACTCATGCTGAGAAGAATCAGTCTTGACTTATTCAGAAAAATTCACCCCTGTGGGTTTATCTGTGGTATAAGAACCTAAAGGTCAGAAACAGGCATATTATGCTCCATTAGAGGTGCTATGCTAAAGGTATAGATGTAACAGATATAAGTCCCCAGTGTGCATGTTTGTGGATTTTGGGATGTGGATAAATAAGAGATGACTGATCGCATGTCTGGCCAAAAAGGAGCATACCAACCACCTTAAACATGAAAAACTGACTTGTACCACAGGATTAGATGGGACTGTTAACGTAAAAGACAAGAGGAGTGTGCTTCATGTGATTCAGGAGTTGAAAAGGGAATTGGTAGATTTTCACACCGGCGTTTCTGAATTACGCCAAACACAAGGCCTCAAATAATGAGATACAATGCGGGATGAATGAGAAAGAGGACACTGGATGATGGGTCTGAAGCCTAGGGAGGAAGAGGTCTAGGCAAGGGTATCATCTACCCCAAAGCCTCGAATATGACAGTAACGAGGATGAGAAGTTAAGGCAGATTTTAGACAACTAGACAGTGATTTTGATGTGTAGAAGTAATCAGGAGACAACCAGGGTGGAAGAAATAGGGGCTAAATGAAAGTCGAAGCCCCGAAAACGGCATCTGGAACCGGTGGTGAGGATGATTATGCCTCACCAAATCCACTTGTAGAGACAAACTTTTAGATGACATTGGAGGAAACGAGAGCACATAATTGTGCGAAAATGTAAATGGGCGATATGAAATGGGAAATGCACAAAGTCGATGATCCGATGCTGGAAATCATGAATAGTATGGCAGAGGACGCAGGAATAGGTATATTACACAATTTCTCCCGGACGCTCCGACCAAAGTGTGAAAAAGAGGAAGTATTAATCACCTGCAAATAAATATCCTTTTATGATATTTAAGACTCTCAAATTAAATGTAGGCAAATATAAAAGTGTGAATGGCGAGAAGAACCTCATGTGATGGCAAAAGGCCTGCTAAATTGATTAAGAGAGTTGGCTAAACAAGGGGCCTTGTGCAAACTGGTCAGAAGTAGGAGAGTTCGAATTAGGACTTAGTTGAAAATACTATATTTAATTCAGTGGATGGAAGATTACAAAACAGGTGGAGAATCTCTTCAAAAGTTGATTGCTCCAATATAAGAGGGCAGTATTGTTTCTGTATATAAATGTGAGACATTGCCTAAGACAGGTAACGAACAGTGACAGCCTAATCATGCAAATGCAAGTAGGCTGTGATAGAAAGTTTGAAATCGACCTCTACAACATTTTAATAAGCTCGTTGTTGTCCCAGACGTTGCTGCACTTTTAAGTTAACTGAACTATGAGTGAAATGCAGATATGGATAATTTATTGTGTTAAATTAGAGAAAATAACCCACCGATCGGCAAGAGACGTTTGATGCAGGCAACAGTGAGGCTAGTAAGCGTTCCTTTCTTTCGTTTTCCTGAAAAGAAGATAATGAATAAATAATACACGAAGGCATGGCTTGAACAAAAGTTCTAAGTAAAATACTATTAAATAAAGACCAATTGGCCTTCCTTTGGCAATTCGGTCATATCTACATGAAGATCTAATACCGCATAAGTTGGTATGACAAAAGCATGAATATGTCGATTACCAGATCCCGAGCGAAAACCCTCAGTGAGGATATCTTATTAAAATATGAAAATGTACCAATGACAAATTGAAATTCAGAAGTTTTCGCTATTATTCGGACTACAGTATCAACAAGATGTCTAGAATCTATTTCATCCTAATGCACACGAGCAGTAAAAGGGTATTCGACAAACTGACCTGAATTCTAGCTACATCCTGATGCAGATTATGCTAGCCTTAAACAACGAAGCTATGTACTAAAGACTGATACCTCATGAGTTTACATGAAGATTAGAGAAGGATATGTACGATGAACTCTAATTAACGTTAATATCTCTTCAGCTTTATGTACGGGTATTTTCCAGTCATATGTCCAGGACTAGGGCAAACAAAAACAATCCTAAATGGGATAGAAATATGCCAGGTGATCTACACTCAAAGCTAGCATTTTGATTTGCTAATATGATTTTTTATACTATTGAAAAGTGAATGTCAGATTTATGCAAAAGAGATAATTGGAATCCAAGTGAGATAAAGAATCTTTGAAAAAAGCCTTGGAATTTATTATGCAATTTGAGGATTAATTAATTTGATTGCACAAACAAAGATACATTATTCGAATTGAGTAGGATTTAGAGACACTCAATGACTCTTATTAAGAAAATATCATTTCCCACTTATTTATTATGATAAAAAGTAAGAGTAATTTGCGACAAAAGGGAATAGATACTATCCCCTAAGCCTTCTACTATTTTCAAGTTGCCCAAGGGTTATTCACTATAACAAATATCAAAATCGGTGACGTGGTAGCCCATCGTTGCTTAACTATTTAAAGAACCCAGTCAAAAAGCAAGGGAAAATTAAGCTCCATTTCTGCTTAAGATTAGCATTTACCTCGAACTACACCAGGTCCAGCCGAAGCATCTAAGGCAAGACCGCGTTGATTTACTCGAGTGGAATTTGAGCCAGCTGCACCGGCGTTGGCCGCATTACTTGGCATTATCAAAGATAGATGATCAATCTCATTTGCGTGTACGAAGTTCTCCTCTTCACGCTTGAATTTCTATAAGTGGCATTAAAAAAATAATGAAGTAGGTAAATTCTGACAAAGCCGGAAAGATATAGCTAATGAAGACACATTATTGAAACACAAGACATGAAAGAAAAGTAACGGTTATAAATGTCCAAGTGAGATATTCGACCCATGTGTACATAGTCATCTGTCTATTTACAAACGCTACCATTCTTAGCACCACACTACAACTCATTAAAGGTACGCTCATTTATATGAAATAATTCAGAGTACAGTATCTAAAAACAGATTCAGCTCAGTTTAGGTTCGACTGCCAGTGGATCTTGCGTTTTCCGATAAGACCTGACATTTTTCTCAATGCTGCACTAGGACCCGACTCACTGGAAGCTAACAAAGCGGGACAAATCTATCATTAAAATGCTATTGAAAGCACTAGACAGATTTTGCCTGAGATAATTTTCGTGCCTCTGTGATCGTAGCAGCCATAGGGTTGATTTAAAAAGGCCATCTTGTACACTCAAAAGTGGGTTTTAAGTTAGGTCTCACCTAAGCTAGACTATTCGGAAAAATATTCAGAGTACCCATCTAGCAGCAACGAGTTTGTTTGTTATTTTTAGTGCAAGAACTTGTTTTGGAAATTATACTAATAAAATAATACAGACTAGATCTTAAAGCTATTCACCCACTTGCCAAACATCCATCCATCCATTTAACTAATCAGACAAGCAAGCGACCTAACAAAATACACACGTACATATATCCTAAACATCCATCTCTTCTCCTTTTTTTTCATTCCCTTCTAGAGAATTTCCGCTATTTGTACTAATCTCTCTATGTATTTTACTAAAGCTCGTGGAATAAATAGCAAAATAAATTCATATAAACAGTTTTGAAAACTATGAGTTTAATTGCACACCAATTTTCCCATTCATTAGTCATCGTATCCGCATAACTGTTCATATCCCATAAATCATATTTTATCTTGGCAATCAATCCAACTGGTTTGTTGCACATTGATAACTTTATCAATCACTATACCTTTCCCTCCTTATTTGTTCATCCACAAACCGTTTAGCTATAAATCGAGAATATACCTATATCTATGCGTACATTTTTAATATACAATTTTAATCTAGCTACTTCCTGTGCATTATTCTATGGGATTTTTTAGTTCCCTTGAGTACTTAGTTAGATCGATGCATTCCTGGACCCCTGCTCGCCTAGTGAGGGAATTCGAACATGATTTTGTAACCAGTTCCCAACTTAGGAAAGTAGCCTGAAAGAACTTCAATCTCACATAATTTTTAATAGAGCCTGTTAATAATGAAAAAGTCTGCGTAAGTGAAACGAAGTAGAATCCATTCAAACGTACCGCCGATCTAGCCCAGATCAAGAACATGTGTGCCACAGCTGCAAATAATCGCTCCGTCTCCACAGTGGGATGTTTCAGCCAGGCTGTGCGGTGTAGGTCAACAAACTTGATGAGAAGAGGATAGAAGGCGAATAAATTGCGCACCAGCACCTCCACAAGACCCAACAACTCTTCCTCACGAGCGCCCGCAGTCTCCGAACCTAAATATCAGGCAAGATGGAGTATAGGTTTGGGAAGAAAAATGGGTAGCAGAAGCGTTGTAAAACTCTGGAATCCATTTCGATTTGTAGTGCTAAATAGATATTCATTTCAAAGTAAAACTGTACACATCTATGGATAAAAACGGAGTATGCTAATATTGGTATGAAGAGAATATGCTAACCAGTATGCGAACGGAGCTAATCTGGCCTCAGCAAGTAGAGAGAAAATTAGAGTAAACAATTAGGATAGCTAGGCAGCTAATATAGTCATATCAAGAATCCATTGAGTAAACCTTATTTTGCAAAGCAAGCAAGAAAAAAGAAACAAACGCGAACGTACCAATTCGCTTCTCCATTTTGTAGGCCTCTTCTACACGTTCAGCGATCAAGGCATGCTCAAGAAGGCGCTCAGAGACTGGCAAAAAGTAACGACCGAGCATATCAGAAGTAGCATTGGCCACAATCGGCGTTGTCCTAGCTATAGTGGGTAAAGTTCACATTTTTGGGGGGAGCATAGAGGTTAAGGGGCAGAAAGAGACCACTGTTAAAAGTGAGATGGAGATGGATCAACGAAATATAAGGAAAAAAAGAGAAGAACAATTTTCGAGTATTGCATCAATAGGCGTGCTTCACGTAGAATGATTTTAGCAGACTTCAGGAATAAGATGGAAGAATGTAAGCTGCATAGAGTACAAACGATAACTTGGCAATGCCAAAACAATGTTATAAAATGTAACCTCAAGCCATAAGTGAACAGTATGGACAAAAAGCAGGCTTAAGCACGGAATGTGTGTTTATGACACTTCAACGCTCATACTCTTGAATAAGCGAAATTACGAATTCCTTGTTAAAGGTAAAAAGTAAATGATACCACTAAAAAGATCATATTTGAGGCTTAGAATCGTTCATTATTAAAGAACTGATATTGTGTGAGTGAATGAACAGTCAATCAGATTAATTAATCAGTCAAGTCCATACAAATAAATTGACTAGGAATGCACCCATGGATAGTCTTCATAGCATGAGATATTTCAGGGGGAGATGTAATGTGCTGACTTAATACCTTACCTGAAGAGCAAAGTAATCAGAAATGAATGTTGTGATAATCTTGCAAATGAGAAGAAAACAAGGTAGAAATTCATTCTAGCTTAAAGCTAAAGACTCGAAAATCAGTCTTCAGACCAGGTCAATCAAAAAGAGCTACCAGTCTCTGGAACCAATATATTTTATTGTTATTTACTCACAAATCATTCTCCACTTACTTCCAACTAATTTCTATCGACAAACGAAATAAGTCAAGAGATTACGGTACCGATTCCAAAGGCATTTAGGAGCTCCATGCCATTTTGCTGAATGAAGTAAAAAATTAACAAATTAACTATGGCCGGATGAAAAAACTAGCTCGCTTGCGTAGCTTGGTGGTTGCAGCACAAGTAGAGCCAAGTCAGATTGGAGCCTCCTCTGATTCAGCCGAAAGAGCACTATGAAAATAGAAGAGCATTATACAAGTCGCTCACTGGCTATTCGAGTCATCCAAGGAGCTCTGGGAGCGTCGATATTGTTCTGGATCAGCTGTAATACACTACCTAATATTCGATTCATCATTCCCGCAGTCACTGTGGTTAGAGGACCAACGGCAGTCTCCGGAGCAACTCCTCCGGCCCCGCCACCACCTGTATCTACAGTGGCTGGCTGTTGTTGGTGCTGATCCGCAGCCGCAGTTACGATATTTGCAGCAGTAGTAGCCGCCAACACCTCCCTTCTGCCCATCTTAACGGTAGACTCAGATAAACCGCCAGGCAATGCCAAGCATTCGGGTCCTTTTCTCCACCAGTTGGGCAGGTAGGAGCAGAGCATAGGCATTGTTACTTCGATTAAATAAGGAGTCTCTCCGCCCTCCACACCTCCACCTGTTAGACCAGACTCTCCCATGTTACTCACCTCTTGACAAATCACCTCCAGTAGAGGTAGGGACTGTGAAAGCTGTTGTAGGATATCTAAAACCAACACGAAATATACACATATAATTAGAAGATATTAAGTACATTTAGGCTCATTTAGACTAATTTGGAATAGTCCTAAAAATGGACAATTCCATCGAGGATTATGCGAAGGCATAGGAACCGAGACTTTGATGTCGGTGTTTCTATACTATTTTAAATTTTGATTTGATTTGTTGAGAGTTGATCAGATATAATTCACCTTCAAATATGAGATAAGATGTACAATTGCTTAACTTTAATATATTTTCACTCACAGACAAAGAGCATGGAGACTAGGAATTTGTCTAAAGATGCCTAGGGAAAATTGAGATGAACGATAATAAAGTTCGGCACTAAGCACGAGATTAAATCGTACAAAAGGTATAAATTTACAAGAGAAGGAGCTGATTTATCTGCTGGACAACATAATTTGGCCTATAATTTTGTGAGAAAGAGATCAGTTTTGATCCAGGGGAAATACCAATATAAGAAATATATGTATTCTTCCAGCTAAAGTGGAGGGAGCTGCCCTTCTTAGATTACTTTTAGAATTCTTCTTAAACAAATTTGTAAAACGAATAATAAGTTTTAATAGTTATCATTGAAACCAGCAATAAGGTTGATGGTTAGAGAGAGAGTAGCGAATAGATAATTTATGCTTTGATGCGCCAAATCGTATCTATCTACTTAACTATAAGCAGACACAACTAAGAGAGGTATTTACAAATAAATACAAGTTTGGAGCTACGAAAGAATAAGATAGTTAGGAAAAGGACATCTTACCTCGGGCCTCAAGACTGTAATCGCCACTTTTCTTGTAGGTTATGGAGAGAGGATTTTTTGAATTAAATTGTGGTTCTAGAAAGGCCACTGGGAAGCAGCTCGCTAACGCAGCCAGACATTCACCAACCACCGGCCTGTGCCTGTAAGTGGAATAAATGATGAGTCTGAATATACTTTTGTGGACCTAAATGATATAAGAAGCCTATCGAAAAAATTCCTAAGGCATAATAAAAGACTAAGCCCAATGAATTATGAAGTTAAAAATCGTGAGAAATGTTTGATATTTAGTATTGAAAGTAAAAATAAGTATGGGAGCTGGTATGGCTCAAGAAACATTAAGAGGAAGTTGATTTATGACAAGCAAACGAATACTAAACCTCATAAAATCAAGCAACCCTATGTAGTATAGCAAATAAAACTTATTTTTCATATGTAAGTAGAGTAGAGAGTCAGAATGCACAAGGATGCAATAGGACGACATATAAAATGTCTCTATTAGGCTGGAATGAGTCAAGAGTAATCAAACGGATTGTTTAAAACAAATAACCATCATCTGCAGGGCCAACATTTTGGTTAATAAGATGAGTTGTATTGCAAAGACAGATCGCCTAATATGCAAGTGAAGGCCAGTGATACTTGGTCAAATGTACAGGTGCAATTATTGTGACGTGACTTTTAGAGACTATCAATATTTTTTTAACAGTAACTTAG